GAGCTGTGAGGGGTGTGGAGGGGCCTCCCAGTGTGATCCCTGGTGGACCCAGAAGTGAACCGAAGTGCTTCTGGTCTACTTCCAGGTCTGTTGCCAAACGCGCTGGGGAGCCCCTGCGCTTCTGTGGGACACTCCATGTGCCCCAGCATCACAGCATTCACGAGCCCCTGCTACCTAGAGGTATGTAGAAAAAACATTTAAAGCTGTCTCTATGTCCAAATCTTTCTGAATCTCTCCAAACCAATTCAGATGGTTTCAATTCAATTCGGAGAGGTTAAAGGGTCCTCTGATTTGATTTGGATTTGGAGATTTGGCCACTGAATCAGGCCGAATCTCCGCTGAATCGAATCAGGGACCAAAGCTTTGCACGGCCCTACTAGACAGCTACTTTAATTATTATGGCATAGTAATAGCTATACTAAATCATGAAATCATAACAAAGTTGGAGTTAGTAGCTGACCTGAAAGTGGTGAGTTCCTTTAGTTACTAGCATCTCTAATTTAGTTGTAAAATAAGTAGAATTTTGGATCCAAATTTTCAGAGCCTGGTACTGTATTACATTGCTGAATTCAAGAAATTTAATAGGTAAATTGCTTTAAAATGACTGCACTATGTTGGTATGCAGCACAGCTGCTGTTAAATGTTCCCTGGCATCGCCCTGGAGTAGCTGGAGCCCAGCAGAGAGAGATCTCAGAAAGGCAGCCAGCAAGCATGTGTGGTCACAAGGGAGCATGTGATAAGCCTTTTTTGATCTTACTTCCTCTCTTGCTCTCTTGCTCCCATTCAGCACCAATATGCCTGCTGAGAGGAGGAGAAAAGGACCAGTGGCCCTAAGCAAAACTAAATAGTTGGGGGGAATTACACACACACACATCCAGACCTCAGGGGAAGGAAGCTGGTATGCTAAAAGCTATGCTTGAGACTAATAACTCAAAGTGTTTTGGTACAGCTCTATGGCCTGGGTTGTGCAAGAGCTCAATCCAGGGACCAGATACAAAAAATAAGGACATTGGCCTCTCCATCCAAAATTAAGATTTAAAACCTCCTGCACAATGGTCACCTAAGCCTGAAGAAACTCCCTCTGTCTGGCCTGGAAGCTCTGGAGGTGACTGATGCTCTGTTCCAGTGCAGGCCAAGAACTGCAGAAGTCTGAGTATCTGGGATCCTAGCTCCTACCCTAACTTCATGAAGAGCCACAAATTGGGCAGAGTAATACCTTAAGGCACTTTTACATGTGCTCTAGGGATTGGGGTTGGGGGGTGACACTTTAATTAGAGAGGCTCTGAGAGCTGCTCTAATTAAAACACTGCCGTGTCTCATGTATCAGCATCCCTGTGTTTAAAAATGGTGGTGGAGGTGTTTGAACTAAAGCTCGTTTGACCTCCACCGCCGTTTTCAAGCACCGGGATGCTGATACATGAGATGCAGTAGGCTGCTGGAGTGCAGAAATTACTATGCTCCAGCAGACTCAGTTAATCGAGTCTGCTCTGATACACTGGAATTCCAGTACATTAGAGCAGCCTCATTGCTCACGTATAGTAGGGTTTACCATGTGTCCGGGTTTTCCTGGACATGCCCTCTTTTTGGGTCCTCTCATCTCTGGCCAGGCAGTTTTTTAAAATATCAGCAAGTGTTCAGGATTTTGCTCGGCCTCCAGTCAGCTTTGATGTTTTTTCCAGCACTTCCTGACTTGCCCCAGCAAAGAGATGCTTGGGCTGGGGGAGTGGGGGAGGGCAATTGTAGGCAGGGGCATCACGTGCTTTGCTTGTGGCCCCAGCATTGTAGCAGGTAAGTCTGTGAGTGGTGGGGGTTGGCAGGCCAGGGCTTAGAGACTGTCAGGAAGTGGGGCATGTGTATGCACATGTGTGTGTACCTGTTGGCGCCGGGGCTGCAGCAGGATGGGGAGGTGGGGAAGGTTCCTGCCCCTCCAGCAGAGGAAGGGGTGGGGGAATTCTTCAGGGGCAACAGGGAGCTGTGTGGGCAGCAGGGCTGGAGGGGGCAGGGGGCTTTGGGTTGGGAGTGAGGGGCACTGGCAGGGCTGGGGAGCTGTGGCTTGGGAGTGAGGGACACCAGGCGGGTGGGAGATTGTGGGTTGGGAGCATGGGGCATAGGCAGGGCCAAGGGGCTGTGGGTTGGGAGTGAGGAGCACCAGCATGGTCTGGGGGACAGGGTACTGTGGGTTGGGAGTGAGGGGCAGCAACAGGGCTAGGGCATGGCATATCACTGCCCAACCCCATCATACCTCCTCTCCCCCCACTCTCCAACAGGTGTCCTCTTTTTTGAAACTGGAAATATGGTAACCCTAGTGTATAGGCACCCTTGATCCCTAGTCCATTAGGCAAGCAGTACATGCTCCTAAGACTTCAGCAGGACTGGCCCTCTCAGAAAAGGCCACTTGGTTGTTTTTCCTGTGGAAGCTGCTGTTGAAAGAGCAGATGGGGAGCCAGCACCCAGACTGTCTAATTTGCATTTTACTAGATCACCTTTCCCTGAGGGCCATCTCAGTGTAACTCCTGCAGAAGAAGCAACTCCTCCCTTTCTTTGAACTGGGATTAGGGCTAGAGACACTCAATTTCAGGGAGGTTAAAACTTCACAAACCCTTTCCTGTTGCCTGTAGTTTTTCTTCCCTATGTATTCTGAATAGCTGCTTGAATCTGAAACCCTGTACTGAAACAACATGCCAGTTGCTTTTGTTCTATTTCAGTGTATGAATATTTATCCAAGTCCAAAGATGCTAATTTTATTTCCAATCAGAATTTAGTTGCAATTCATATCATTTTTTGTCAGGATTCTTCCTGTCTTTTCCTGATTCTGCTACTGACTTGCATGCACCTCTAAAATAGGTAGAAACAAAACAGTTTAATTAATTAACGCTTGCAAAGCATTTAATAAGGCCAGATGAAAGATACTGTGTATGAGCAAAGCATTAGCATTAGTTGTCACTTTGAAAAACGTGATTAATCTTAATTTGGCTGCGCTAATCACAAATCTGGTAACTTTCCAACATGGATTTCAAGGAGAAGAGGACAATACACCTGGGAAACTGGTTAGATTTAGCAACAAGCCCTCTGACATAGACCACCATGTGACTATGAAGTGCAGCTACCCAGCACCACAACACATATTAGGATGTTAAACAGTTTAAAACAGGAAGCAATAGTTTTATGCTTTAAGCTCTACCTTGGGGATATTTGCAAACTTCCCCAAGATTCTTTTCTCGTTAATTTGTCTTTATCATGAGATAGTTGAAAATGATCTGACAAAATTCATATTCATATGTGGAAACATATACATGTCATACAGCATGGAAAGGCTACACAGCAATGACTCCTGTTCATAAGATCCTTTCAGAAGACATTGGCAGTGAATGGGCTAAAGAGAGGAAGCAGACATGCTGCTGTCCGAAGAATCAGACTGCTTGGCAGGGTATTGCTAGCATGGGCAGCAAACACAAACCTTAGAGCTGTCCACTCTTGAAGAAGCATCCTGGTCTTTTCTTAAAGCAATGAAGACTCCATTCAGACTTTGTGATATCCGAATTTGTGTAAACACTAATGAGGGCTGTGGGCCAGATGCTGTGCTGGCACAAACCTGCTAAACTCCATTGACCTCTGAGTAGCTACACCAGCTGCAGAGTCAAGATATTGGCTGATTACTGAAATTCACAGCCATTGCGGGTTCTCAAAGCTTTTCCCTGGGAGGAAGGTTGGCCTATCTCATGCACAGTGAGGCCAGACGGATGAAAATTAAGAGAGATGTGGCACTGATTCCAGAAATCGCAGAGCTCTCGTGCTGCATGGGTTCTTTTCAGAAAACTACAATGGAAAACCTTCTGCATGAAGAGTACTTACCATTTCTGCCCCTGTCTTTACATGTGAGGGACCACTTTCAAAGAGGCATGCTGGTTTTGTGCTTAATGCAGTCTTTCCCAACTATACTACAGGCTCCATAAATGACCCTGGGAAATTTGCCTAATTCACTTTCTGTGCTTTTAAAATAGGAATAAGCTACTTCCCTTGTTTGTCTTATGTACACAGGGGTGAGGACTTTGGTGCAGGGGCATAAAAGGGCAGTAAGGAACCATGTCTCAGTTTGAGCCAGTAAATATTTCTGGACGATCATGATAAATTAATTAATGATAAATTCATAATGATAGCAAGAGTTCTCCAAGCCACACAGCCTTTAAAGAATTCAACATGCCCCTAAGGGTTAACAGGAGTATTAGGAAAGTGTTGGGTTTCTCTTTAAGAACCGGATAACAGGGCAGGTCTACAAGATGCAGTCGGCATCTTTGATTTTTGGTGTCTCGTGCACTCTCTTCACTACATTTTCTTCTATTTTAATCTGGGTATCTGGTTGCTGGCCAATGTGCATGAGGAGAGTAATTCATCTAATGGACATGTTGTAAATCTCTGCACCCACATGGAGAGAAAGTTGGCTGCTCACTTTGACTGCCTGTCAGACCTGCTTCTCCAGTGCTTTCTGTGAGAGCTGAGTCACAGATACAGTTCTTGCGCCTTCAGGAGGCAGAGAAGACACTCACCAGTTTATTTATACTTAAAAGAAGCAAAGAAATCAAACAACACAAGTACTTGACATTTCTGTGGAATGCTTATACTAGTATCTTTGCAAGCATTCCAGGGACTACCTCTTCACTCAGCCAAAACCTGGCTGCCTGCAGCTGACATTCACGAGCGAACATGTGGAATGGGGCATTCCAACGCTACCATTGCTACCACTATACACGTTGAACTGGAGTCTGGTGATTTTCCCAGCTGGTTTTTTCTGCAAAAACTGGAATCAGTAAAGGTATTGCAGATCTGGATTCACGACTGAGGTTACTGCTTTGGTTCAGTTCTGAATTCTCAGAACAAAACCCAAGTGTTTGTCTCTCTCATGTAGCTTCAGCGAGACACCTGGAGTTAAATTACAAGACAGCCAATTGCCTATTGAGAGAAAAGGGCTACATTAAACTAGGTATGAACATATCGGGCTGGAGCCTTTGCCTTCTGTTAGAGATCCATGTTTCTATGGATAGAAGCAATCTATGGATTGCTATTCTATGAATAGGCAAACCTATTCTCCCTTGCTGTAGTCTCTGGAGAACCACTAATGCCCACATGGGCAGGACCTTCTCCTCTTTTCTGCCTTTTGTGACAGGGCCAGACTCTATTGGGCATCTAAATGGCCTTAGGCATCTAAGTGTGATTCCTTGCCACCCTGTTCTAGTCCCTGAAAATCTATGAATGCATCTACCTTCAAAACACACTGTCATCTGGCCCTTAAGACCCAGTGGGTGAGTCTACATGTGAAATTAGTGCAATGCAATAAACTCCGGCATGCTTTGGGCTCAGGGTTTCCACATGCACTTGGGGCCACAGCATGTTCTGCAGGGGCAGCGCAGCCCCAGCTGGCAGGAAGCCTGGGGGTTTAGCCTGCCAGCCTGGAGCTGCTCCCCACCCTGAGGGGCTGGCTGGGACAAGAGGGTGCTACACAGTAAGGCTAGCCAGCAGGCAACCCTTGTGCTGTAGTAACCTCATGCCCCAGCCAGCTCTGTTCACCGTCTACACATGCATTTTGGCAGAGTAATAACTCTGCCATAGTATAGTACTTGTGTCAGGCAGTACTAACTTATGGTGGAGTTAACTATTTTACTCTGGACAAATAGTAGCATATGTGTAGATGGTGATGCTTTACTGAGGAACTAATTAGGCAACTCTACAGTAAGCATCTTGTGTAGATGTCCCCACTTAGAAAAGAGCATCAAGAAGACTGAAGACGTGCTTGCCTTTTGTATTAACAATTTTCCAGGGACTTGAGCAGGATGTTATAGGGTTGCCCTGGAAGCACCTAAGTCCACTTTAGTATCTAATGGGTGGGAATCTGGTCCGTAGTTTTGAGCTAAGATGAAGGCATGCTATGGAAGCAGCAACATTAGGTACATCCTTGATGGAATAAAACCTGGCTCATTCAGTGTGAGTTATGCATCTTCAGGGACTTATCAAACGATTTATGATCTTTTGCATTGTGGAAAGCCTAGGAGCCTGATCATGGACCGGACCCCATAGCTCCAGGCACTATCAAAACCTAAAGCACAGATAGTTCCTACTGCAGAAGATGTAGGAAATGAAGAATGAATCCATGAAAGGGACATAATATAAAGCAGTTTCCAATCTCTTTAGGCAAATTTTCCCTTGACAATTTCATGCAGACTCCAATGGGCACCAGTTAAACACTATGGCTCACATCCTCAGCTGGCGCAAAATAGTCGTCTATGGAGCTATGAGGACTTTACACTCATCAGAATCCTGCCCTGTGTCAGGCCACAACTTCCCCTATTTACAGAGAGTTCTTGTAACTTATTAGATCACCCTCTGCAGTTTCTTTAACAGATTCATGGTGAAAGGTGGATAAATCAAAAGCAAAGATAATGAGGAGGATGATAATATTGATGTGCACCTGAAAAGAAACTAGTAAATGAAAAAGGGCAGATCCTAAGTGAGAACAGAAAACCCCAAGGGGAAATGAAGTTTCAGCAGTGGAAGTCTTACTTGTAGATGTAAATTCACTTAAGAGAAAGGCAGAATCTTCTTAGACTGTCTTGGGGGATGATGACAGTCCTCAAATGTTATTGAAATCAGTAACAGAAAATCAAATCCAATGTTTGCATGTGAGATATTGTCTGTAGGAACTTAGTTATTTTCCCTCCAGGATGCCTATTTCTTTTTATGGACTGATTAATTTTTCTTCTTTTCCTCTTCCTCCTCCTCCTCCAGTCCTCTTAAACAAACAGTCTTCTACCAAACACTCCTCCTGCACATTCAAAAAGAACAATGTCTGAATTTCAGATTTCTGGCAGACTACTGATGAATGATTTCTTGATTGGAGCTTTGAAGAAGATTAGTATTATATTTATACTCTCTTTTCCTTCTGTTTCCGGTCTTTTCCAGTCATTCCTTAAATGTTTAATATAAGCTGTTTATTTATATTTTAAGATTTATTCTGAAGATGCACCCCCACCACCCTTTTTGTAATATGATCTACTTACTTCCTTTCAGAGAATTAATTTGGCTGGAGGATGCCTGGAGGCATGGTATATTTCAGTGTCACACATACAGTGTAATTTCCCGCCCCCATAAGTCAGTGAAGTTAAAGGGCCTTGATTGACACACACCAGTTACCTCTAAAATAAATACTGAATGGGAGAAACGGTAGAAATGTCCCCAAATGGCACACTACCAAAATGTATTGGTCCCTTCCTGCTGGGGAACAAATGGTAGCTCTTTCATTGCTATTTCTCATTATACTATTGCAGCATACACAGAACCTTTGTGAGATCAGGGCCCCATTGTCGTGTGCCTTATACATGCACAAAATAGAGAACAGTTCCTGCCCCAAAGAGTTTACAAAATAAATAGGGAAGATAGGCACAGAGTGAGAGGAAACGGAGTAAAAATCATAGTGTGCTGACCCTATAGCCTCAGAAATTGGCACAAGAAGCAAGGGGGAGTTCCCACTTTTATATAGAACTAGCCCATTGCCTGTCAAGAATGATGGGGGGGGGGGGAAGGGAGGG